AATTTACTTGAAAACTCTTTTCTAGCAATTATGGATACATGGAGTTTATTTCCATCAGTTTATTTCCATCAGCTGAGGGTTTTTTTAGCAGTGTTCTGCATGAATAGATTTTTAATTATATCAGCACTGGCTAAGACAAAAAATGCAGGAGGCCAATGCCAAGGTTCCTGCTCTAACAATGACTAACCAAAACACACTGACATACTAAACCACAAGACTTCCTGTGGAGAAACCCCCATATACAGAGCAAGTGGCCACATAACATGGGAAGTATAAGATGACTATTAACTTTCAAAATCCTTTATTTAAACTTCCTGAAGAATATTTACATTTGTAACAGTTAAATATTTTTCTTTCCAACACTAAAGGAAAAAGAAAACTTATTTCAAGAAAGACAGCAACTAGAGAGTCTGTTCCCCAGTGAGACAGGGTTGAAGGTATTCCCTCCTCACCCCCCGAAACAAAACATAGAACATATACCTCAGAATGTCTTTAATCTCAATGACCATTTTAAAATAGTAAACAGTGGAATATGCAGAGTTTAACTAGCCAGCTGATTTAACAGTACACAGTTTAGAGTGTGTTTGGCTGGTGATAAACAGGGACTTATTCTTCAAGCCTGCAACCGAAGGCTGTGTGTGAAAAGGGCTCAATAAGCCTCACATTTTACAGCGCTTAAAAGGATTCCTTACAATAAATGGAATCCGGTCTATTAGCTATCATGCCTCATTCCTGAAGACGTTTCTTCTAACCTTTGCATGTTTGGAGGAAAGATGAAGCCCACAGCAGGAAATAATTCCTCAGTCTTTGTAGACCTCTGATTCCTGACTGATTGCAATACCTGGAAATTGTGCATCACCTACATCAATACTCAAGCTATTTTCTGTGTGCTTGGGGAGGCAGAGTGGGAGCATTCCCAATGTCCACAGTGATGTTGGTATAAAGAAGGTGCTTCTGTCTTGAAAGGACTCTGAATTCTACAGAATTCATTCCATCATCCTTCCATGTTTTTCTGGTGTGCAGCGGAACAGGCCTGAAGGGAGGAGAATACTATAGTTAGATAAAAGGACAGCGGAGGAGACAGACATTCCCATCTTTTTCCTATGATTCTTAAATACACAACACTATGACTATGTCTAGACTGGCATGATTTTCTGCAAATGCTTTTAACGGAAAAGAAAAGAAAGCCCCGATCGCCATTGGGGCTTTTTTGCGCAAAACAGTTTTTAGCTGTCTACACTGGCCCTCTTGCGCAAAAACATTTGCGCAAGAGGGCTTTTTCCCCCGAGCGGGAGCAGCATAGTATTTGCGCAAGAACACTGACAATCTTACATTAGATCATCAGTGTTTTCTTGCGCAAATTCAAGCAGCCAGTGTAGACAGCTGGCAAGTTTTTCCACACAAGCGACTGCTTTTGCGGAAAAACTTGCCAGTCTAGACGCAGCCTATGTGTCAATATGATCAAGTGGCTTAAGCAGAGAGAAGAGGTGCTTTTAGTTAACAGTTGAAGTAAGATGTAGACAGGCAGATAAGGAAGCTGTTCCAAGTGGCAGAAGCTTTATAGGTAAAGTCTTCCACCAAAAGATCTGAGATTATCCATTGGCACAAAGGAGACTTGTTCTAGATGAGCAGAAAGTGGAGCAAAGACATGCTGTGATGTGCAGGAGACTGGAGTAATTGTATAATGTTTATAAACAAGGATCATTTGGATCTAGAGTCTGAAATGCATGGTGGGGGATGGCATGTGAGAGTTTAAGGACTATTTGGCAGTACTGCTTTTTACATATGGAAGGGCAGTGGCAGCAGAATCCTGCACGTTGGAACATAAAGAGCTTGGACGTCAGGCGGCAGATGCGGAAATGAGGATTTCAGATGTATTCGGCTGTATGCTGACTTGTGAACATGAGAGAAGATGTTAAAGAGCTCAGCATTAAGAAAGAGGCAAGTGGGAGGGCTGAGATGCCAATACAGTCCCCACCTCATTCACCATAAACAGTTTGTTCCAGCTCATGATATGCAAGTAGATCCATGGTGATTTAAGTTACATTAAAGGGTCCACCTTACCCACATTTTCTGAATTCAGCTCTGATTTCACATTTTTAATGGGTCCACATATAGCTTAGTGTTTGTCTACTGCTAGCATAATACTTTGTTACATAAAATATTAAGACATTTATTTTGTCCTAGATGCACATGAAAATCTTAAGGGAAGGAAGACGTAGGAAAACGAGCTTGAAGGTTGATTCTTAATTTTTCCAAGATACCCTACGATGACTAATTTGGAAACGGTCTTGTTTCAAACTATTATTCTAGAGACTACTGCCCTAATCATGGACTAGAATCCCACTGTGCTAGGCACTGTACAAAACTCTTGCTAGCAACTGCCAATCAAAAGAATAAGCATACTACTAAGGACTTCAAACACTGTGATTAACTCATAGTAAAGCATCTACGCTTTAAAAATATAACTACTGAAAGTAAGATTCAGTTATAATTGGCTGTTGACCAGACAATATTGTTGATATCAAATTTTCTTTTGTCCATGAGTCCAGAGGCTGCCAGCAGGACTGCAGGCATTTAAGTTGTAATCAAAATAAATCAAGCAAATACTTCCACCCAGTAAGTTTCCCAAACTCTATGCTGAACAAAGCCAGAGATAGTTTCTTTAAATAGCATTTAAAAGCAGGATGCTGATAAGCAGCTGCTCAGTCTGTGCCTTCTGCCCCACACGAGGAGGAAGGTGATAGCAATCAGTTAGCAGGTTCCACAGACCCGGGATGGTCTGGAATTTGAACAAATGGAGGACAGGATCCTTGGACAATAGTTACCTTCTTGAGTGCTTTTCACTCCATGAGTGTTGCTCCAGGTCCATCATTTTGTAGTGTCCAAGATGAGAATCCTTTAAAACAAACAGAAAAAAATATGGGTTTATGCACAAGGGGATGTGAGTTCTAGGCTATAGAAAGTGCAGGTATTGAGATTTTTCCTGGTAGAAACAACCAAAGCAAAAACATACAACCGGGCTAAAAAGCTAGTAATTCAAAGTCAAAAAAAGGGAAGAAAGATTTTGATACTCAGTGATACCATTTAAATTATGGTATAATGCACCCCTGATTCAACTGACATCATTTGTGGAGTCTGCAATAGGAACAGGGACTTTACCTAAAAGTAATATGTTGCATATATGTGAGCGAGAGCCAGCAGCAGTGCGTTATACTACCATTCAGATAAGCTGGTAGAGCCAGATGCTGCAACAACTGGGCTACGTCTAGACTGGCCACAATTTCCGGAAAAGCCATGCAAATCAGGTAAGACAGCATAGGGAAATCCGCGGGGGATTTAAATATACCCCGCGGATTTAAATAAACATGTCCGCCGCTTTTTTTCCGGCTTGGGGAAAAGCCGGAAAAAAAGCGTCTAGACTGGCGCGATCCTCCGGAAAAGGGCTTTATTCCGGAGGATCTCTTATTCCTACTTTCAAGTAGGAATACTTTCAAGGCTTCACGACTGCTCCCCACCCCCAGCACAATCCCATTGGTCAGTTTCTGGCCAATGAAAGCTGCCTGTTTGAAAAACAGGCAGCATGGGAAGCACCAATCCCCTTTCCCCTCAGGCTCTTATTCACAGAGCACATGGCCATGCAGCCTGTGCCAGGGGCAGGGCAGGCTCCTGTGAAACAGGCTGGGCTGCTGCTCTGGAATAGGGCTGTAATAGTGTAGCCCTGCGTTTCTCAAACTGTGGGTCCTGATCCCCTGGGGGGGGGGGGGCACAAGCAACTTAGAGGGGGGTCGCGGTATCACAAAGTTTGAGAACCCTTGGTGTAGTCAATTAACTGATGATCAAAAGCTTATAAGTTAATGTTATAGACTACACGCATTTCCTTCCCCCCCCTCCCCTTGCCACTACATTTTTTAGTAGGCTGGCTAGAAGCCTGGCTCAGTCCTGCCTTGTGACAGGTCCGGGACCCATCCCTGTTGCAGCTCTGCATTTAAAGTGCATTAGAAGTCGGGCAGGCAGGCAGCCTGGCTCAGTTCTGGCTCGTGCTGGATCCGGGAGCTCAGACCCACCCATAGACAGGGGACACTGCCACCCCATGCTTCTGCCTCTTTATCAGAGGCAGCAGCACAGGGCAACAGGCAGCCAGTCCATGAGGGAGCTGGTTTTTAAAACTGGCTCTGTTCATGGGCCAGCTCCTCCCTGGCACCCCACACTGCTGCCTCTGATACAGAGCGCACTGGCTGCCAGCTCTGCCCTTGGGGACTATAGAGTAGTCGACTAATCGATAAGAATTCATGAGGTTACTCATCTATTCAATTAACCGATATTTAACATCCCTACTCTGGAGTCTCACTGGTAAGTCTCCCAGCCAGATCTTGCCTCTGGCAGCCCAGCCCTCTACCCCCCACATCCCACATAAGCCAAACCCTCTGCCCCCATCCTAAGCCCATATCCCCTCTCAGACCCTGCACCCCAATTCCCTGCCACAGATCACAATCCTTCCTGCCCTAGGTCACAATCCAAACCCCTGCACTCCCCTCCTGCACCCCAGTCCCATGCCCTAAATCACAGCCCCCTCTTACCCTAGGTTACAATCCAAACTCCTGCACCCAAATCCTATGCCTCGGGTCACAACTGCTTCCTTCACCTAAACGCAGTGGCCCCCGATCCAGAAACGGTTCCCCACCCCTGCCATAAAAATAAATATGTTAAAACGTTGTGTGTTGGACATAAAGTAAAATATTAATTAAAAATGAAGCCTGAACAACAAGGCCCCAACTGGGGCCCAACCCCCATCTGGGCAAAGCATTATAACACTCTGCACCCCCACCGACCCTGAGCCCCTCATACATCTGCATCCCCTGCCCTGAGCCCCTCATATACTTCAACCCAGACACCTGCACCCTCACATCCCCAGCTCTGGCCATACACTTCTACACCCCCCCATACTCCAGCCTTGTGCCCTGAGCCCATCATATCCCTGAACCCCCTTCCCTGAGCCCCTCATACTCTCACATCACCAACCCCCTGTCATAAGATTGACAGAAGACAGCCTGAATACATGCATGAAGCTGGATTTGACTAGTTATGATGTAAACTTCAAACAAATGTGTGAAAAGATGCAGCAGCAGAAGTCCCATTAAATTAAGTGTAAGTCAATGTTTCATTTGTTATTAATCATTATGTCCATTATCAATAATTTTAAGCTGTATATTTTCAGTCCTTAAATGGGCATTCTTATACAGCTCTTTGTTGACCACTTGTTCTGAACTTTGATGCAGTTTGGCTCTTTGGTTTGAAAAGGCTGCCTAGTCCTGGGTTAACTGGTTACCCATTCACATCCCTACTCAGACTAAAGAAGTGCCTCTATCAGATTAATTACTTAAAAAACGAAGTGCACCCTAATGCACAAGACTCTGGTAGGGCACTTCTCACAACTGGCACTCCACTTGAGACCCATAGTAGAGCTGATGTAGTGCAGAGAGCACGGAGGCGTCTCCAGTCTGCTTTTAGAAATTCATGACACGCTATACCCTGATATTCCATTTAAACAGTATTTTTAACTTTGTTAAAAACCTAACTTACCAGTCTCAGGAGCACAATGCTTGGTAAAGACACCCACAGTCGTTAAACAAAATATTCCACTGAAAATTACATAAAACTTGCCACACTCTACAAGAGCAGGAAGCAAATGTTGGATTTTTTACTGCCAGCTAAGTAATATAACCTGGACAGTTTGCCTCAATATCCACTAGTAGGCTGTGTCACTGGTGAATTACATCTACAATGCTTGCTATAGTAGACGAGACTAAAGGCTCTTTATTCAGAGCAGCACTGGGCAAAGAACTATAATTAAACTCTCTGTATTCACACCCATAGCATGTCAGCTTCCTAGCAACAAAATAACATATTTTGCCAACACTGACTCATATGGTTCTTAAAAATCTATGATATGTCACTACGTGTCAGTTTTAACTATGGGAATCTGGATTCTTTTAGTTGCTAACTCCCCCAAATACTGTATGCTTACTGAAATGATCTTTCAGGTGGTAAATACCATGTCCTGAAATCTTCTAGCTAACTTCTGAGTTTTTCACCGTGTCAGTCTACTATTATCTCTTATAAAACAATTTCAGTGAGTCAGCTATCAGTCATTACTCTGGAAGAGCCCCAGAGACAGCACAAAGGTATTCAACACAACATTATCTAGCTCCTGAAGTGCAAGCTATCTGAAGAAAGCTTCTAGCTTCCTACTGCACAAAAGTGATAAACAAATTGATCTAACATGCTCTGACTCAATCAATTCTGAATTGAATGTCTCCTGTAGGATGTTAAATATCGGTTAATTGAATAGTCCAGCAACCTCATGAAATTTTATTGGGTTAATCAACTATTCTATAGTCCCCCGGGGCGGGGCCAGCAGCCACTATATCAGAGGCAGCAGCACGAGGAGCCAGGCAGGAGCTACTCTGTGAGGGGAACCAATTTAAAAACAAGCTCCCCTCACAGACTGGCTGCCTGTGGCCTTGTGCTTCTGCTTCTGAAAAAGAGGCAGCAGCACAGGGTGGCAGCAATCCCTGTCTAAGGGGGGTGGAGGGTCTGAGCTCCTGGACCCAGCGCAAGCCAGAACTGAGCCGGGCTGCCTGCCTGCCCAGCTCCTAATGCACTTTAAATGCAGACCCGAAGCAGGGGTAGGTCCTGGACCCGTCAAGCCAGAAGTGAGCCAGGCTCACTAAAACATGTACTGGCAGGGAGAGGGGGAGAGGGAAATATGTGTAGTCTATAGCATTAACCTATAAGCTTTTTCTTATTGGTTAATCGACTACACTATTACATCCCTAGTCTCCAGAACTGAATTATGAATGCTCTCCAACGCATTAACATTCTTCCAGAGAACAGCCACCAAAATCATTAAAGGATTACAAAATCTCTGTCCTAGATAATTTTACTTTCTGAGATCCTCTCCTCCAATATGCTAGACAAACTCTGTGGCCCACCTGAAAAAAAATAAAATACATAAAATTTTTTAAAAAATCTGCACATCCAGTAGATTCTTCCCTGGGCCCAGCCTTGCTCTCTGACATTTTGGCAGCCCCTTAAAAATCTGCTTGTGGCTCAAGAACCACTGTTCTCCAAAATAATTCCTAGAAATTCTGCTGTGGCCTGTATTAAGTAGGTCAAATCAGATCATTTTAGTGGACTCTTCTGGCCCTAAAATCCATGAATCATATCACTATATAAGTTTAAAGATATCCAGGACCTATTAAGCTCTTTTATAGTTCCTTCCCTTGGGCTAACGGAAACCATGCAACATGCTACTGTAGACCTTTATTTAGTTCTATTTTAAATGGCATAGTCCTACTCATTAGTACCTTGCAGCAATGTCATCATCTTCAGCATGACTGCCCCAGTAGGTGTTTGGAAACCCATTTATCCTCATGTAATGCTCTGGAGTCAAAGCAGAGACACCTCCAAAAAAGGACCAATATGGCAAACTGAAGCAGAGAAGAACAAATTATTAAAACTCACTTTACAAATTCACATGCATCCTCGTCTCAGCTTATTGGACTCATTGCACAAGAAGCTGGAGGATAGAAAGGATAACATTTAGAAAATGTTACTCACTCGTAAGTGGAACAGTAAGACTCCAGTGCAGAATACCAGACTTGCAAATTCAATTTCGACTCCTTCTAACCAGCAAAATTCAGAGACTGTTTTGCAACTGACAGGAATTTTTTCCTCCAGTGTGCGGTAGAGATGTAAATACCCAGTAAAAATGTTAACCAGTTAAATTATATAATGTTAATTGTTTAACCATGGAGGGCTGCTGCCCTGGCTCTGCTGGCCCACTGCAGCCAGGGTCCTGCCAGCCGGGCCACCATCGACGAGGGGGGCAGCTCCCGCTGGCTTAGCCCTCCAGTTAACTGATTACCAGGTAAGTATTCCTGTAAGATTTATGTTTTACCAGTTAACTGGTGAACCGTTTAACCTTTTATATCCCTAGTGGGAGGAAAATACTGTACTCTGCTCATAGAAGGATAGAAAATAATTACTGATCAGTCACAGGATGATGAGTTTCAGTTTGCTTTGAGTAGCTGCTGAAAGCAAAACGGGGTCTCATAAAGGACTGTATTTGCCCTGATGTGTCACAAAATGATCCATGATAATTATATAGCTGCGGAGGAGGGAAGCCATAGCTGTTGAAAGTAATGTAGGTTACAAATTTGTCAACATCTCAAAGACAGCTCTGCACTGAGATCCTAACTCAGCAGCAGTACCATGTCACATTTGTGCTCTGTGCTGCTTAATGCTCTCCAGCCTGCATCTCTGAGAAGATAAAAAACACATTTCCGTTTCAGTATGGGTGCATGGTGGAGAGTGGCAGGAATCATTTGATGAGGAAGAAGGGACGTCTGTCATAGAAGCAACAGCTATCTAGTTGGGAAAAAACATTGAGGTAACAGCCTTCAGTGTCCAGTCCTAGGCTATACTGCATGTTCCATGAAAAGGAACTACTTATTAGATCATCAAAAATGTTCATCCCAAATGCAGATCCTTACCTGTACTGGAATTTGTCTATGGCACTGGCAATATGTTTGGGGTAGTAGTCATCACAAACGTAGAGGTTATAATCATTTTCAGGAATGAGGTCCACGTCATGCAGAAGCAGACAGTCCCAGTCCTCATCCTTCATGGCTTCCCGGACACCAATATTAAGGAGCTTTGCTCGGTTAAAAGCAGCATTCCCAGCCTGGAAAAGAAAATGTGCAGAGAAATCATCGAGTTCTGGAATAGCTTCAAGAATCTAAATACAGCATGCACTGAAGTCCACAGCAAAACTCCTATGGGATTTCAATTTGAGTGAGACTGGAACCAAATGATGCTGGGAAAAAAATTCAGAAGTGCCTACATTCCAATCATAAGTCCTTTAGATGTTTTTGAAAATTCTATATACTAGCTTCACAACTCTGAGTTTTGAGAAGTTGAAGTCTTTTCTCATGGGGATAAAGAAAGAGAATTTTAGTCTCTAACAGACTAAATGTAAATCTTCAACTATACTTCCCTGCACCTGCAGATTATTACCTTCATTCTCTTTAGAAAGAAGACAGAAATCAGAAAACATATCCTAGTTACATCTAATTGAAAAAGATTCCCCTTCCTAATTAATCATCAGTTTTCACCACTAATTGGCTTACTCCCTCTGGAGATCCTTCACACCACCAGAACTCATCAGTAATACCAACTGTTTTGCCTGCATAAGTTTGACCCAGAGCTGGATCAAATAAGAATTTGCATCTCACTCTAGGGAGACAAATATACCTGATCTCAGGGTACTGCTCCACGGTCACCTACAGTGGAGCGCCCACAGGGACACTCCTCAAAGAAGAAAAGGGAGGCTACTTACCTTGTGAAGTAACTGGTGTTCTTCGAGATGGGTGTCCCTGTGGGTGCTCCACTGTAGGTGTTTTGGCACTCCTGCGCTTAAAATTGGAACATTTTAGCAGCATTTGCCCCGGATGCCAGCATGCACACGCAGCACCATTCGTGACGCAGCATGCACCATCAACCATCCCTCAGTTCCTTCTCTACTGCAGAGAGATATTTCAACTCCAAAGCAGAGGAGCACCCACAGGAACATCCATCTCAAAGAACACCAGTTACTGCACAAGGTGAGTAACCTCTCTTTTTCTTTGAGGAGCATCCCTGTGGGTGCTCCACTGTAGGTGACTGGAGCAGTACCCTGAGTGTCTGTAAGGAGGGGCTTCAGACCTAACTGGTGAATGGCAGAGAGGACTACCACCCCAAACTTAACACATTGTGCAGTGTAAGTCTCTATTATGCAATATTTTGTAAAGGTATGTGTAGAGGCCCACGTTGCAGCTCGACAAATGTCTGTAATGGGCACATTATAGACGAAGGCTGGGGAAGTGCCCATGGCCCTGGTGGAGTGTGCCCACAATTGAGTCGGCAGTGAGACCTTATTGATGTCATTGCATGTTCAAATACAATTTGTTATCCATTTTGAAAGCATCTGTTTCAAAATCACCTGCCCTTTGGAGCGATCTGCTATGGAAATGAACAGTCTGGAAGAGTGTCTGAACGGCTTTGTTCTAAGTAAAAAGCAACCTTGAATTGAACATGCAAGGAGTGGAGTCAAGCTGCATTAGTATCAGGATGAGGCTTTTGGTGGAAAACAGGTAAGCATATGGGTTCATTGAGATGGAACTGTCAAATTATCTTTAGAAGAAATTTCAGATGTGTTCTTAGCACCACTCTGTCTTTGTAAAAAGTTATAAATGGCTGACCCTTCTGGCTATCATGATGGTCATTAAGAATGCAACTTTCATGGAAGTGTGTGACAACAAGCATGTTGCCATCAGTTCAAACAGAGAGCAGGTTAAGGTGTTAAGGACAAGGTTGAGATCTCAGTATGGCACTATTGCCTTTATGAGGGGAAAATATTGTTCATGCCCGTTAAGAATTTTTAGTGGTTGGGTGTGAAAAAAAAGTGTAATTGTCTACATTATCATGCTCACTAGAGATAGCCGCCAAGTGGACCTTTACTGATGAACTCGAAAGATTCTGTTTCTTTAAGGAAAGAAGATACTCAAAGACCATCATCAGCTTTGTTGAACTAGGTTGAAGTGCTCTGTCAGTGGCCCAGTTAAAAAAAAAAAACAAAAAAAGATGCCACTTCTGCAAATAAGTCTCTCATATTTTCTTTTCAACAGTTCGTGATAAGAGTACGAACTTCTTCTGAACAGATGATGTCCCATGTATTCACCCTTAAAGGAGCCAGTCCTTGAGATGGAGCTTGTGGACATCAGGATGAAGAACACGATCCTGTTCCTGAGACAGTATGTCCAGCCACTATGGAAGAGGAATCAGAGAAGCAGCTGACAGTTGAGACAGGTAAGGGAACCAGGTCTGCCTGAGCCACGCAGGTGTTATCAGAATGACCTTGGCCCTGTCTTGTTTTATTCTTTGTATAACTTTGTTCAGGAGGGGAAGACATAAAACAGATTGTGAGAAACTGATCAGCATGGCATCTCCCATGGAATTCTTGCAGTCCCGCTCTGGAGCAATGCCTGAGGCACTTTGAGTAGTGGAATGTGGAGAAAAAAATCTATTTTGCAAAGCCCCACTTCTGGAAGACGGTATGTAGGCCTTGGAGATGTATCTCGCACTCATATTTCTGATGAAATAGTCAGCTTAATTGGTCTGTGGTGACATTTTGCTTGCTTGGGAGAGATGTGGCTGATATTGTGAATTGATGGTAAATGCACCAGTCCCACAGTGCTGTGGCCTCTTGGCAGAGATGGTATGACCTGGCCCAAGTTACTGATTCATGTAAAGCCTCCAAGCAGAATTGTCAGAGTATTCTCACTGATTTGCCCTGAATTAGGGGAAGAAAGTACTCGCATGCCCTTCTTACTGCACAGAGTTCTAGGATATTGATGTGCAGGCCTGATTCTGGAGGTGTTCATCTTCCCCAGGTGCTGTAGCCGTTGGTGTGTGCACCTCAGCCCTCTAGAGAACTGTCTGTAGTTATGTGTATGGATGGTGGAATTTGTTAAAAAGAAATTCCACAGCAGGGATTGTGTCCTGCAACCACCATCTGAGGGATTCCTTGACTTTGTAGGACTCAGAAGTTTGTGCAAGGGGTGTTTGTGCAGCCGAAAGCATGTGTGAAGCTACACCTGCAGGCACCATGTGTGCAGCCTGACATGAGGGACTATGTAGGTCATCACAGACATATGACTGAGTAGTTGTAGGCATCATCTGGCCGACAGCGTAGGGCTGTCCATAAGTGTCTTTGCTAGTGTAGCCAATGAGTGGAACCTCTGTTGGTGGTAGCACCTGTGCTCATACGCAATCCAATGTTGTGCCTATGAACTCTAGCTCCTGAGATGGAGTAAAGTGCAACTTTTGCGCGTTTATCTGTGGGTCCAGAATGCTGAATAGCTGAATTGATTCTGTGGTGCAGTCCGTGGCCTTTCGTCCCGTAGTAATCACTATCAGGCAACTTCTAAGAAAGGGAAGGTAACCATTCCTGATTTCCTGAGATAGACTACTGCCATAGTGAGGATCTTGGAGAAAATCTTGGGTGTTGAAGATAGGCCGAAGGGCAGGAGTCTATACTGATAGTGTTGCTCCTTTAGTGCAAACCTGAGGATATTTCTGTGTGAAGGGTGAATTGCGATGTGAAAGTATGCATCCTGCAGGTCGGGGGACAACATCCAGTTTCCTTTTTAGAGAGCCGGAATTATCTTTGCTAGGGTTACCATGGTGAATCGTTGCCTTTTTACGTACTTGTTCAGCCCATGTAAGTCCAGGATGGGTCTCCAACCTCCTGTTTTTGGGGGTGAGAAAGTATTTATTTAGAGTAGAACTTCTTCCCCTTCTGATGTACTAGTATGAGCTCTATTGCCCCCATCTGAAGAAGTTTGTGAATCTCTTGTTGGAGCAGTCTCATGAGAAGGATCCCTGAAGAGGGACAGAGAAGGGGATTGGTTTGGTGGAAAGGTAAGGAAAGGAATCATGAGGCCTTTTGCTATTGTTTCCAAGGCCCACATATCTGTTGTAATCCTAGCCCATGCATGTTAGAATGGTTGAAGGCTGAACTGGTATTGATTGGTTGGTGGAAACAATGTTGAGCCCTTGACCTGATGTTCAAAACACCTGCCCGACACTTGAGGACTGATACGTGGTGGGCTGTTCTTGAGGTTGCCTATGCTTCTGTTGTTTCTACGGTCTTCTGAGGTTGTAGCTCTTCTGGTAGGAGGAGGAGGATGATGCCTTGCCTCACAGCATGTAAAGGCAGTTCAGTTTCTTTTTGGGTTGAGGAACATACATGCCCAAAGTTCTTAAGTGTGGCTTGCGAGTCCTTGAGTGAATGCAGAGAAGCATCTGTTGTGGTAGAAAAAAAAAGCTGCTGTCCTTCGAAGGGTAGGTCCTCAACCACGTTATGCACCTCCCTAGAGAATCCAGAGAAGTACAGCCAGGAGGCCTGAGGCATGACCACCGATGTCTCCAGTGACCTTGAGGCGGTGTCCACTGCATCCAGTGATGCCTGCAGAGTGGTTTTTGCTGTGAGGACCCCTTCATCTATGGATGTGAAAAACCCTTGTGGTCCTCTGGGAGGTTTTCAGTAAACATCTTCATTTTTTCAAAATGGTAGTATGTGTATTTTGCTAGCAATGCTGAACAATTTGCTATCCTGATCTGGAGGGATGCTGAGGAGTATGATTTCCTACCCAAAATGTCCAGTCTCTTCCAGTCCTTATCACAATGAGTGGATTTATATTGGGTCTGATTGCCCTTGGTATGGGCTGCATCCACCACCAGAGAGTTTGGTGCCAGGTGGGAGAACAAAAATTCAGCTCCTTTGGCAAAAACACAGTACTCCCTGTCTGCCTTTTTGAGGTTGGGGAAATTGAGGCTGGTGTTTGCCACAAAGTCTTTGCAGGGTCTAGTATGGCATCATTGACTGGTAAAGCTATTGCTGATGATGCTGACGCCTGCAAAATATCAGTTAATTTATGTTGTACCTCGGAACTTCAACTAAGGAAATGTCGAGGGAGTTGTCCACCCTCTCATACAAGTCCTGAAAGGACTTGAAGTCATTGCCTGCCATTGGTGGAGGGTGCATTATGGATTAATCTGGAGAGAAACAGGAGATGTGTGATGGAGGTAAGGTGTCTTCCTCCTGTGTGTCCTCCAGATCCTCCAACTCCCCATGTGTAGTGCCAGACATGGTGGATGCAGGTAGTTTAGAAACTACTTATTGAGATCTTGCTACTGCTGTCACCTGTGCTGGTGCCTGAGCTCTCATGGGGCCCCATGGATCGCATCTTTGCCAAGATTGAGGGAATGGAATAGGAGGGAACCATGGAAAAGGTTGCCACATCTGTGGTTGGGTCTGCTGCTGCTGTTGCTGCAACTGAGAGGATGGCTTAGGAGAGGAATGTCGTGGGGAGAAAGATTTCTTCATCATCCTCACTGTCACTAGAAAATGGTGGGGATGAGCTTGATGGTGCAGCCAGTCTGTTAGGGCCCTGCAATGTCGGTATGACTTCTGTATGGAATGATGGTGTGCCCAGTACTGATGAGACTACCAGCTCTTAATGAGTGAACAGCAGCTTTGATGGAGGAAAGACCGGTGCCGGCAATGCGGAGGACTGGATTCATTGTGGTACCGAGTCACCCCACGCCTTCGACATGGTCAGTACCAGGCAAACTTCAGTTCACGGTGTCAGAGACAGTTTAGTCAACATTTGTACTGGTGGTTCTGGTCGGACATTAGCTGCGGTCTGATGCGACAACTTGCATACTAAACTGCTCAAGATAGTTAAGACCAAACCAGAATGTGAAGAGCTTCAAAAAGATCTCACCAAATGAAGTGATTTAGCAACAAAATGGCAAATCAAATTTAATGTTGATAAATGTAAAGTAATGAACATTGGAAAAAATAATCCCAATTATACATACAATATGATGGGGACTAATTTAGCTAAAACTACTCGAGAGAGAGATCTTGGAGTCAGTGGATAGTTCTCTGAAAACATCCACTCAGTGTGCAGCAACAATCAAAAAAGCAAACAGAATGTTAGGAATCATTAAAAAAAGGAATAGAAAATAAGAAAGAATATTTTATTTTCGCTATATATAACCATGGTACACCCACATCTTGAATACTGTATACAGATGTGGTTGCCTCATCTGAAAAAAAGATATATTGGCAATGGAAAAGGTTCAAAAAAAGGGCAACACAAATGACTGGGGGTTTGGAACAAGTTCCATATGAAGAGAGATTAAAAAGACTGGGACTTTTCAGCTTAGAAAAGAGGAAACTAAGGGGTGATATGATAGAGGTCTATGAAATCATGACTGGTGTAGAAAGAGTGAATAAGGAAAAGTTATTTACTTGCTCCCATAACGTAAGAACTAGGGGTCATCAAATGAAATTAATAGGTAGCAAGTTTAAAACAAACAAAAGGAAGTTTTTCTTCACACAATGCACAGGCAACCAGTGGAACTCCTTGCTACAGGATGTTTAGAAGACTAGGACTTTAACAGGGTTAAAAAAGAACTAGATAAATTCATGGAGGTTAGGTACAGCAATGACTATTAGCCAGGATGGGTAGAAATTGTATCCTTAGCCTCTGTTTGTCTGGAAATGGATGACAGGAGAGGGATCATGTGATGATTACCTGTTGTGTTTACTCCCTCTAGGGCATCTAGCATTGGCCACTGTCAGCAGACAGGATACTGGACTAGATGGACCTTTGGTCTGACCCAGTATTATCATTCTTATATACCGATGTTGATGGTACCGACAGTGCAGGGGTTGTCTTCTTCACCTTCAGGTGTTGAAATCACAGGGCATACATTTTTAGAGGGCACTGCCCTTGGGGTCTGTTCATACTGGACAGCCTCAGTGCCTGCAGATCCACATAACCCTGTGCCTTTGAGGAGAACTTCTGCTGAGGGGACAGCCTTTTTGATGGTCTGTCCGCAGAGGGTGAGGCATTTTTCCTTGGCTGGAGGATCCCTTGGTGCCGATGAGTTCTGGTCAGAGGCTGCTGTTGGTAAGGTATGGGGTGGAGAGGCTTGAAACACTGGTTGCAAAGGCTGGTCTCTCAGTTGCGATAGCTCTTAGGAAAATGATCCTGACCAGGCAACAAATGCATCGGGCATGCCCATCAGAGACAGGAATGGGCATTCTGCATGTCAGAAACTGCTTAAATCCTGGGGAGCCTGGCATCACTACTTTAATCCCAAGTACACTACAAACAAGGGAAAAAAATCCTTTTAAAAAGGAAAAACACCCACCAACAATTAAAGGGGGGAAACCGAAACAACTGTCAGAATACAATACTAATTACTAATTACTAACTACTAATTACTAACACTATCTAAGATTTAAAGACAAAGCACTGCTGGGTTCCAACCAAGCTGAGAGTTGTTGAGAAGGAACTGAGGCACAGGTGACAGTGCACACGTGTTGGCACATTCACTGTGTTGCGAGTAGCGACATGTGCATGTGCGCTGGCACCCGAGGAGAATACTGCTGCTAAAAAGTTCCAACTAAAAGTGCAGGAGAGCCGAGACACGTAGGGTGGAGAACCCACAGGAACACTCCTCGAAGATCATCAGCACCCTTAAATTTAATCTTAATCCCTCTCAAAAAACAAAGGTGGTAAAATATCCAGTGTTAAGATATGATGTACTCTTTAGAGACACAAAGCTAGAGTAGCTGAATTATGTCATTCTACATTCATAAACTCCATATTTGTCACAGAGGTCTTGTTTGTCCATTTTTCATTCACAGCCAAACTACTCCTTAACTGGGAATCTCAGCAGCAGTGAGACGCACACGATTTTGATTTACCTGGTGAATCAAGTAGATGGTATAGTGAAGCTGTTGACGCTGGAGGAAGGGATGAAGATAATAGAGAAGGTGTCGCAGGTGCTTTTCCTGGTTCTTGTGTGGTACAATGATGGCTGATTTGTAGCGAGCCAGACAGTGAGGAGGACTGTAGTGACCTCCAAACCGAACAAAGGGATTTTTTTGTATTATCATTCTTTCACTGGGGAATATATTGAAGGTAATGGTTAATGGACCAACTGTAAGAATGAAGGAAAGGAGAAAAAACAGTTAAAATGTGGTGACTATGAAGTTGAGTCAAATCACTTCAATTTCAACAGAATAAAACTCATACATCTATTGCTGGAAACACAATCTGAACCCAGCAGAGAGCAGTAAAGAACAGTATAGTGGGGGCATGTGTTATCCTATGAGTTGGAATCCACAATGGAGGCCTTTCAGTGGACTCCTCCCCAGTACGGTTCTTCTGATATTTGCTGTTCTCCACTCACACTAGAAGATCCAGACCCCCACAAAACACTGTCAGGGGACCACCGTGTTCTCTGAATAAAAGGCAAGATAATCACCATTATGGACAGTTGTGGAAGAGCAGTTGGAGAAACAATCACATCTGCCTCTTTTACTATCTTTTCCCATTTATATATCAATACCACATTTCAAGCAAGAGCTCAAAGACAAAGTGGTTCAAGGACTGTGGTGACTATATAGAAACTATTTTGGAGAAAACATAACACAAAAGAAAACAAGAGCATTTCTCCTTACTGCAACCCATGTTACCCAAAATTAAATTCCCCTTCTGATCTAAGGGTAATCTGATATTATTTAACAGAGTTCATAGCCAACTCTCAGAACATTTCCAGACCCTTGCTACCCTACAGTTTATTTCAGTGATTTTGTTTTCCCTCCCATGTTACTTCTCACCCCCTCCCCTTTTCTATTAATGAAACCCAAAGCGTTTCTAAATATTTAAAAATCAGTGAACCAGATGTCTGATGCAGAAATCTGATTTTTGCCTCTGCTATCAAGAGTTTCCATAACCAATTGCCGCCATGTTTATCTGCAACAAACAGAATGGCTGTTTCTCAGGGAACTAGGCTATGGTGGAACATCTCTAGACCATATCTACCATGTCTATTTGCTTACTATGACTGTATTAGCTGTTTCTATGGAACTCTCAGTTTCTGTCTTTAAAAAACAAAACCACTTTATTCCATTACTGCTTTTACTCTGAACATTTTATTTTAAATATAAAATCAGTATAACAGAAGTTATATGAGAAAACAGTGACTTTAACTAAGTACTAACAACTGCCCCAGTGTTATTATTTCGAACTTGCTTAAGAGATGCTAACAAAATGTACTTGTATTCAGATTCAGTTGCATTCATGGGTATCACTACAAAGTGTCTGAGTTTATTTTAAAAGAGATGGTATTATTTCTTTCAGGATAATCAAGTCCCTGCATTTTGCAGGACCAAATTCAGTAGTATCAATCCATAAAATCAAATCCTGCATTCTAAAAATTGATCTTAATTTATTCTACTGCCATGCAATATTTTAAATTTTTGTTCTCCCACTCCCATCCCCATGGCTCATACATGAATACCACAGTTATTTTAGAAAATAAATTGTCATGCTGTCCTGGCCATATGGTTCCTCAGCTCCTATGAAGTTGTCCAAGGAATCCAGCTCAGAACTTGTTTCTTTACCTGCCACACATGGGGAGAAAACAAAGGAAGCTGTTAAGCTCCATCTATGGCTCATGACCCTAGGGAATTCTGGCTCCCCCACACTCCCTGGCTGCAAGCTGGACTTCAGGTCTGGATCACTCTCTCCTGCCTCCATGGTGTAGCGTAGGCTCATAGTATCCAACCAGTTATGAAGTAGTAGCTACTATTGTGGCTACAGCAAACTAGCAACACGCAACAAGCCAAATAACCACATGTGGCTAGTGGCTAACAGCTAGCATGTTGGACGCCATGGGTGTCGGAGTAAACATTGAGTATAATCCAATTAACTCCCCCTTGTGGGGAAAGTAAAACCAGCTGCATACAGATCTCTGAAGAGCAGGAAGACAGAAAAAAAACCCTTCTGGAGTCCGGCTGGAGCAAGAGAGCAAATTTCAGGGCAGAAGTACTGAAACATGTCATATTCCAGAGTGCACAGGACCACAGTTAAAACAAAAAGATTAGTTCACACCATTCAAAAAGCAAAGTTACTCACATTGGTGCAGTAACTGTCTTTCTTCAAGATGGTGTTCCCGTGGGTGCTAGGCTTGCCCCGGCACCGCAGAACGGAGATTTTTCTGAAAGCAGTACCCAGCCAGACTGCACATGTGCTGCAGCGTCTCATGGCATTCGTGCACTTTTGCCTGAGTACGCGGTCCGGCCCCCGCCAGTTCCTCAAGGCCACCTCGGAATCTGTAAGACGTAAGTAGAGAATGGATTCCGAAGCGGGGATGAGGGCAGGTAGTGGAGCACCCTCAGGAACACCATCTCGAAGAACGATAGTTACTGCACTGAGGTGAGTAACTTCGCTTTCTTCTTTGAGGATGTCCCCGTGGGTGCTCCACTGTAGGTGACTGAGCAGCAGTACTCACCAAGCCAGAAGGAGGGAAAGACGGAGTCCCTATTTATCTGCTGTAGGGAGCACTGCTGATGCCACTGCAGAATCCGAGTGCCTCTTTTGGAATATGGCATAATGTTTCATGAAAGTGTCATGTGAGGACCACGTGGCTGCTCTGCATATATCTTTCAAGGGAACACCCTTGAGAAAGGCCATCGAAGTTGCCATAGCTCTTGTAGAATGGGCCTGAGGTTGAACCGGGAGCGGAATGCACTTAGAAGTAAAGGCCTTTGTTATACAGGTGGTTATCAGCTTGGAAATTCGTTTGGAGGATATGGGTTGTCCTTCTGATCTCTCAGCTATGGACACAATTAAACGATCAATCTGTCTGAAAGGTCTGGTGCAGTCTATGTAAAAAGCCAGGGCCCTTCGAATGTTGAGTGTGTGGAGAGCCACTTCTCATGGGAAGGCATGAGGTTTCAGGTGAAAAACTGGGAGAACAATTGGTTCATTTACATGAAAACTAGATGCTATCTTAGGGATGAATTTCGGATGGAGTCTCAGTACTACACTGTCCTTATTGAATATAGTATATGGAGTTGTTGCCATAATAGCTGATAGCTCACCAACTCTGCATGCTGACGTAACGGCGAGTAGAAAAACCATTTTCATAGTTAATGATTGTAAGGGTATGGTAGCGAGTGGTTCAAATGGTGGAGTCATTATGGCTTCGAAGACGATGTCCAAAGTCCACACCAGAGGAGTGGCATTGCATGGTGGGCTTATATTTGTAAGGCCCTTGAGAAATCGTTTTGTGAGTGGATGGGCAAAGAGGGAGGTACCGTCAATCGGTTGTCTGAATGCGGAAATTGCCGCCAAATGGACTCAGAGATGCTAATAACAATCCTGTCTGTTTCAGGTGTAGTAAGTATCAAGAATAATGGGCAGAGAGTTCGACTCAGGAGTTCTTGTTTCGTGATGCACCAAGAGACGACTCTGCGCCATTTGGAAAGGTAAGTAGTCCTACTTGTTTGTCGTCTGCTATGGATGAGGATGTGTTTGACCTGTGTGGAACATAAGGATTCAGAGGGGTTCAGCCAGTTAGGAACCATGCTGTACGTTTCAGGGTGTGATTCGGGGGTGTCGTAGAGAGCCCTGGCTCTGCGTGAGAAGGTCCGGGAGGGCTGGAAGCTGAAATGGTCTGCATGATGACATGCGATGGAGAAAGGGGAAACAGTGCTGACATGCCCAGGCTGGGGCTATCAATATGATCCTGGCTCAATCTGACCTCATCTACAGAACTTTGGGGATGAGAGCTATAGGAGGAAAGGCATATAGGAGAGGTCCGTTCCAGATGATAAGGAATGCATTTCCTAGGGAGCCCGGACCTAGACCGACCCTGGAACAGTACTTGCGGCACTCTGTTGCGATGAGTCGCGAAAAGGTCTAATAGGGGAATTCCCCATAGTTGAAAGGATGTGGAGAATACCGTCATGTAGTTCCCACTCATGCTCCATGGCGAAATGTCTGCTGAGAAAGTTTGTGCTGACATTCATAGTTCTAGGTAAGTAGGATGTTATTCTGTGGCAAATGCACCAATTCCAAAATCGGATTGATTCCGCACAGAGGGAGCAGGATTGAGCTCCGCCCTAGCGGTTCACGTAATAGATAGCCGTGACATTGTCGGTGAGAATTCTCACTGTCGTATCTTGAATACGTTTGCAAGCGTTGAAAATCCCTCGTAGCTCCAGAAGGTTTATATGGAGTTGAGTCTCTGGTGCCGACCATCTGCCTTGTACTGAGATCGTAACCATGTGTGCTCCCCAACCTAGAAGGGAGGCATCGGTTGTGATGTGGTGCTGGGGTTGCTGTTGATGAAACTGTACCCCAGAAAGAAGGTTCTTGCAACTCGTCCGCCAGAGGCATGATTAAAGGACAGATTGTGGAGGAGTTACTGCCTGTGAAGATCAGGTCTGATGCAATTGTACACTAGTGTCAGCCAATACTGAAGAGCACGGAAGTGTAGCCTGGCATAATGTACCACGTAAGTGGTGGCAGCCATGTGACCCATGAGTCTCAGGCAAGTGATGACCTGGACAGTGGGGCTGCCTTGGATGATCTGAATGAGGTCTTGGATAGCCTCAAATCTCTGCAGAGGTAAGTATGCCCTGGCTGTCATTGAATCCAACCAAGCGCCTATGAATTACAGCTCTTGAGTCGGATGCAAAATTGACTTTTGTTCGTTGACGAGGAGTCCAAGGGTGTGAAAGGACTGTCTGGTGATGTGGATCATATCGAGTATTTCGGCAGAGTGCGGCCCTCGAGTTAACAATCATCCAGGTATGGGAATATAATCACTTCTCGTCGATGGAGATCGGCCGCAACTACTGCCAGGATTTTTGAGACTACTCTGGGGGCAGACGAGAGGCCGAATGGCAGGACTTTGTACTGGTAATGGTCCATGCCAACAACAAATTGTAGGAATCTTCTGTGTGCCGGATGGATTGAACCATGAAAATAGGCATGCTGGAGATTGAGGGCCGCAAACCAGTCATCGCAATCTAACGTGGGAATTATAGCAGCTAGTGTGATCATCCTAAATCGTTGCTTTCGTAGGAATTTATTCAAGCAGTAGAGGTCTAGTATCGGTTGCCATGCTCCTGACTTTGAGTGAGG